TTCTGTAGTCTTATAATATGTATTCCTTATATATGACAATTTATGGGGCATTAGAGGGGAGGGTTGTATCTCGTTTCTTTCTCAACATAATTCTTTGTTTTGTATCGTTTTAAGGGGTTCTGTTGGAAATAATTTTGAGTAACCTTTTACTTTACCTATTATTTAGAATAGCAGTGTAATGCCAAAACACAATTTTGGTCTAAAGTCAGTTATGTTAAGTCTTAATAAATGCGTACAAGCAAATGAAGGGCAGCCATATGTTAATTCAGAAAAAGCCAGAACAGGTCAAGACAGGTCAGATTTGTCGCTTTCGATAGCGCCAGAAAGCATTTTGGTTCAATATCAAATTACCTACAATTTTTAAATGAGGAAAATACTTAAATGTGACATTTGTATCTTTGTTCGTACACAAATTCCTTGAATGTTATAGTTCAAACAAATGACATCGTAAAACTGACCAGTATTCGCATCGGATTAATTCGGCAACATAACATACATAACATCTTTTATCCTCGAAGGGGTAGGCAAAGGTGCACATTTAATGCCACTGTACAAATGTAACACCCACTTTTCACAATTTCTGTTATGAGTCCCATGTATTAGGGGGTGAGCCTATTGCCACATACCCGCGCACAATTCCAGACTCCGTGCTTATACTGAGATTTTTTTTTAAAAACCCTGTAATACTTTGCTCGGTAAACGCACGCGACTACTCGGGCAACGAGGCAGCCTTTATGCCGAATTAATCTTTATTAAATCGGCAATGTTAACAAATTACATTACCTATAATTATATTACATTTATAGGAAAAGCATCGAACTGTTTTCGTTATCGTTTATGTCGACGATGTGGAATAATCTTTATTTGATTGGATCACGATCGAACGGCGGCTTAAAACTGAGTATTATTCAGTTGCAATGGAAAAGAGTAATGTATTCAAATATATTTCATTGTGAAGGGCCTCGGCGCTTTCCTTCAAAATATTCCGGCGGTTTATGAGCTAAACAGCTGATAAAACAGGTGCTATGTATGTTCGCAATTTACCAGGGCACCTCGAGATTTGCATACCAAAATTGGACGATTCAATTTGGCATACAAAACTATGACGCTGTTGTATTATGTGAAGTGAGAAAAAAAGTTTTTAACTGATCCTGTTGAGGTCATTCACTTTAAATGTAAATTGTTTGATGTTAAACAACTATCGTAAAGGTGAGGATTGGAATGGCGACAAAAATTCTATTTGTGTTTAGTTTGACGTTTATTTACTCAATGAAGGAAGTACCTTTGTATTGCTCGACGACAAGAGCTTTACATATGTAATACTGGGTCATCAGATTATGTTTGCATTTTGCGTTCCATTCATTACATTAGTGAATATTTCTAGTCAATTATAATTTGCGATGTATTAGTGTACTCATTTCTAGACAAAGTACCTATAAAAACAATAATTATTTTCATACTGCCTCACTGGTAGAGTGGTCGCAAGTGATCATTATTGAGAGGTTTTGGGTTCGATTCCCGGTTGGGCAAAACATAATGTTTTTAGGTTACTTTTCTTAATTACACACTCTATGATTGTGCCCGGTGTATGGTAACAAGCCCAAAAACCACTAAATAGTAAATAACTTATTAAAGTTGTTACATTGTACCTGTATTGTGTCTTCTATGTGTTTTATTAACCTCTCTAAACTCCTTCGGGAATTAAAAGCATGACGTCATCTAATGTGTTTGATTTATTGCATGATATCGCATAACGCTTTTTATCCCCTGGGCCCTGGAGGCGTTATGACATCCGACCAGAAATAGAGATATTATGACAGCAAACCAAAAATAGAGACAAAACTAAGTATACAATAATTTATCTATGTATGTGCAGGTTCAGATACACTCACGGATCACCTGCTCTCATCTGATCTCATAATAAGTAAGTTACATTAATATGAGATCTTTCAGCTGAAGTATTCGCAACCAATTAATGTGATAACCAACTTGATGTTTAAACAGGCACAATATAATCTTCAGGTACTTGCTTACAAACTTTTGATTAATACCTACCTACGGAATTCGAGCCCAACAAAGTTAAGATCGTGAACTATGGCCGGTAACTATTTCATGTTTGTAATTACATCTGATGAATATTGAATAGCTGAAACTAGTGGGCCTGTGTGCGTGATGTATAAGACATGCTTCTTGCCGCAACTTCGTTCGCGTAGAATATTGTCGATGGATATTTTTTTTTGTTCTTTTCCAAAACATATTACGAGTATACCTACCCTATATATTATCCAGGTCAATTAGCAATACAACAAAATTAAATATTTTCTATAGAATCAGTCCGTTAGTTTCAGAGATAAAGGTGTGCAAATTGACAAAACAAACAAAAGGATTTATTTTTATCAAATAGTTAGGTAATAGGTAATATTTCAGTAAAAAATAGGGTGATATAATTGGGTATATTTTACTTTTTTCAAAAAATATATAAGTACAAACACACTGTTAAATTTTTAATTATATACGGTATATAGATATAGGTGGGGCGACAACATACCTCCTTTAAGGCAGCAGATTATATTTATTATCTGTTGGCGTGTGTGTTCGCCTCGCCGACCTATAAAAGTCATAGCCAGGACATCATCGCACAGTAGATCAGTGATCAGTGTTTGTATCGGACGGTGATATTTTAAAACAGGTAAATTAATAATAAATTTTAAATTATCATAAGATTTTTTTATTTAAATTTTTAAAATTCCGCAATAAAATAATGCGTATGCCATTTTTGAGATTCTTTTAAGATAGTCTTTTAGAATCTAATTTAATTTAATATTACAATATTTCAAAAATTCTTGTGACGTTACTTTTAATGAATATTTTCATGTGATTAATTTAATGTTCGAATTTTAACTAATTTTGCACACATCACTATAACTTTTAATATGTACCATACTAAAAGAGTTATGTCGTTTGACTAAGTTTATTTTTTTATCAAATTACAATCTTCATAAAAGATGACAAATGTAACACAATATATTATGTCAGTCTATTATGTTGGATTACAACTCCTAAAAACCTTGCAACATTATGATGTATGTAGTTTCCTCGAAATCTTTTATTAGGTGTAGGTTAGGTAGCGTGAATATTAACATAATTTCCTGTGGAGGGTTACATTATAAAGTTATAGGTATGATTTATATCTAAGTGGTTAGTAATGAATACGGATACGAATAATCGAGTCGAATAACTTAATAACTACTTTTAAATATAATCTTTACTTAAGACTTCGCCTATACGTGCGCTAAAGATTAAAATGCATTAATTTTACCATTAATCCATGTCTGTATTAAAATTCAGATTTCATTACTTATAATACTTACTTAAATTGAGCAATATCATTATATTATTATAATTCATTAGGTATAATATATCAAACATATATATATATATATACCATCATTAAAATTTTGTTAAGATAGATTGACGAGTTTAATTTGTAACTCTCACAAGTAGATACAATATTACCATGTAATCAAAACGCGGGCCCAAAAGAAGGTCAAAATTCAACATTGACTTTGACATAAATGAATTGCAAGTCAAAACTAGCGAAACGAGTTCAAGTCTTAAAGGTTGCGCGGAAGTAAGTAAAAGTAAAGTTTAAATTGTAAATGAATGACATTCATTAATATGCAGTTAGTACATTTTTTAAGTGTGCGAGAACCATGCTTCGGCAAGAATAGGCCGCCTCGACCGGAGCGATACCATGGTCTCACAGAAAACCGACATGAAACAACACTTGTGTTTTGTATTATGTTTCTTGGTGTGAGTGAGGTTACCGGAGGCCCATTCTCCCCAATCCTCTAAACCCAAACAATCCTTAAATTCCTAATTTCCAAAAGGCCGGTGGTAACGCATTTGTAACACAACTGGTGTTTCGGGTGTTCATGGTCGGTGGCGATTGCTTACCATTAGGCGATCCATCAGATCATTTACCGGCTAATTCCATTAAAAAGAATATACAAAGATTTTACATGTAAATGATATACTATAGTGTTAGTTAAAAAAGCATACCTATATACGGTCGAATTGAGAAACTCCTCCTTTTTTTTTGTTGTCGGCTAAATAAATATATGTTTAAATTAGTATTAGTAATTTTTATTGTCAATGACACAGATGATACTTAAGTTGCTTGCTTTGTTAGAAAAGGGCTTCGGAAACGCTTTGAACGCTTTTACGAATTGCTAACCACTTTGGTATTAAGGAAAATAACATGTTGTGAAGAAAATCGTGTTTAAAGACTCCAATTAGTTTAAGTTTTATATATTTCTGGGTGTCATGTGTATGTAAACTTGTATGTTTGTAAACGCACCCACGACACAGGAGAAACTACTAGTGTGGGACAACGTTTTAAAAAAAAATGGTTTATAAAAGAATCATAGTTAAATAAAGTACTCTAATTAAGTACTCATTTACCTACAATAGTCATCTTGGGACTATTAGATAGGTATACAATTATATACAGACTTTATTATTTACAATGTATTCATTATCTACAGTTTCACCAATATAAAGTGCTCGTAAAGATTTTTATTCAGAACAATTTTGATTGCAAGTATCCGGCTTTATATGTACAACGTATATGATAATTTTATTAGTGTAAAACGAATATCATTATTAATTGAAACGTTAAATTGTAAACAATGTAATTAACATAATATATTGGCTTTAATTTACTTAACTATATAATAACAGTATTAAGTATTAAATCCACTTTTCTTGAGTTATAATGACAGATTTTGATGAAAGCTAAGCTAATTTTAAATTCTTTATATTTTACGATTTATTCTCTTTACTGTTTGACAAGATCACTCGACTAATTTCGAAGTACGCAAGGGGCTCATAGTCAGTAGAGAAAAACATAATTAAATTAGTAATGTCTCACAGGAATTATAATAAAAAGACTTGTTATTAATTATTATTATTTTTTGTTATTAACAGAACAGACCAAAATGAGAGTGTGCACGATTGTGTTCGCGTTGTTGGTGGCCTTTGTGGCGAGTATGGCGGCTGAGAACGGCCCTCTGATGGCCGCCCTCCAGCCTGTGCCCGTAGACGATACTGAAGTCATGGTCGTCCAGCCACAAGGCGTCCGGGAGAAGAGGAGTGCAATTCTTGGTGAGTTATTATATCGTCCTCGAAGAACTAAGAAGGGATGTACTTTACTAGTCTCTGCTAGCAGCTTCGCCCGAGTTAACTCGTCGAGTACCGGTTTTATAGACACAATTAAAGAACAATGGGTCGCGGTCACCGGTGACCGCTTGGTATTTGACAGTTTAAAGGGTGTATGTAAAACACCTATCTAGGTGATATTCTAGAGTCATTCAGATACATTCAGTTTCGTTCAGTAGTTTTTGGGTGACAAAGATCTATACGAATGTATTTAGGTACAAAAATCGGAAGTGTACGATGTGTCAATAATAGTGTTTGCAATTACATAATTATATACTTAGCTCATGAAGCAGCCTGTATCATTCAGTTTTATTAGAAAATGTCCTTAACACGTTAAACGTCATGGGGGTCACCGGTGACCGACGTTAACGGAGGATTTGCCTTCAACAGTTTTCTATTGGCAGTCAAAACCTTAATAAGATCACAGTAGTAGCGTCACCACGTTTGCGTGTTTGAATTGTACGAAATATTAAATACTTAAAAACATCAGCCTATCTGCTTAAGTTATCTCACGCGATTTATTTTAGTGATTAGTTCAAGAACCCGATTTCTAGTTAATAGCTTAATATCCGGTCAGTAATTATTATCATTTGGGAATGAATCTGTGCCTTATGCATACGCAAGTGCACCATCAAGGTTAGTGCGTTACACCTCACGCAATCTTTGTGTTTCTTACATAATGCATAGTTTAATAATTTATAGAATTGGTGTATTATACAGATAACTGAAGAATTGGTATATTATACAGATATTTTACAGAATCGGTATATTTTATTTGGCCTTATTCATTAGTACTAAAGAGTTTTTTTTAATTTTATGGTAACAAATAGGGGAGTATTTTATTTATTCTACTTAAAATATTGTTCATCAGGTCGGATTTAAGAATAACAAAAAAATACAACCGTTGTCAGGTTAGCTCGTTGTTTATATTTTTTACACCGATTATGGTAGATTACGAAAGAGATTCTATTTATAAAAATATGTTGGTCTTAAGAAATGTGTCAACTTAAATGTCAATTTATTCTCATTTTTAATCAAATCGCCCGATTCATTCTTTTCAATGACGAAACAAAACAAGGTGTGCTTTTAGAACATACCTAAAATCTATTTTGAGACTATGCGACAGACATAAAATCTACTAAAATGTTAAAATATGCAACATTTCACGAAGAAACAACCCTTTTGATAAAAACTTGGGAACTAAACGGTTCGTTTATGTATAAAATAGTGGATTAACCATGACAAAGTACCGACCCGGCTCGTTCATAGTTTGTACATCTCACACTTATCTCACCTCGTGGGCTCTTAAAGTCGTGGAAAGATTTGTAACACCCCTACACTCCGTGTGAAATATTGCAGCGATGAGAACAGGGTTGAAAACCTCGCCGGTCGAGGTGTGATTACAGTTTTACATACTCAAAGTACAACGAGATAAAGTTCATATCACTTTGCATTTGAATTTGTTGGAGTTCCGAAATTATTTTATTGTCTTTCACTTAAATAGTTGCAAGTCATGTTACAATCACATTAAGATAATAATGATTGTTCCGAAGAATAATAACGTGTTGGTTAAATTTATTTTATTGGTTGTATCGAGATTTATATATTACGCACAAGAAAATGACAAATAATAAAATATTAGTAGATTTACATATATTTTTATATCATAGTCCACATGATGGAAGTATTTTTCCTTGTCGGGCGAGTATGTGTATTGTTCTTTTCACTCGCACCATGGCGAGGTGTCGCGTGTCGCAGTAATCACCTAGTGTCGTAGTCGTATACAGTACGCCACGCATCCTCTGTCACTGTATACGCATTACTCTGCGTTATGACCAAACTTTTATACACACGTACAATCGTAAAAGATTACTCGTTTATATGGTAACATAGTGGGAAAGTATATATTTATGTACCACAGCTGAATTCCGCATCATTGTCTCATTTTTTTTAAAATAAAATAGACTATGTTACTCCTTACTACATTATCTGCCTGCCAATAAAAGTCCTATCAAAATCAGTCCAACCATTTAAAGATAATTAAAAAAATAGCTAAATAATTATTAGCAAACAGACAGATAAAAATTAAAAGTGGTTTTTGGTATATATCGTTTGTATATTCATTATTATGTATGTAGTAAAAAGGGGTATTTCAATATTACAAACAGACACTCCAATTTTATTTATCTGTGTAGATATAAAGCGGTAATGCAAAGTAAAGGGTCCAGAAACCGATTAGGTACACAGTTAGGACTACAGTTTGCTATTTTTCATATTACTTTTTCGTTATGATTCCATAAATATTAATATTGAATTATGAGTATTAAAGTACTGTTTTTATATCAACGAACAAATCCATGAATAAAACATTGCCAATGCGAAATGCATTAGGGATATTAAAACTTTGTTATTAAGGTTCTCTTGACCGGTCGACGACCTTCTAAGGACTTTGCTTTTAAATAATAAATTATTTTAATTAATTATTTCTTATTTGAATTAATTTTATATTAGGACAGGTTTATTTTTGATTATGTAAAGATGTAAAAAAAACAAATTTTATCTTTCTTACTTTTTTAATTTAGTACCTACTATATCCTGCAACAAAATACAAATCGATTTAGAATTTAGTGTCAATGTAACAGTGACTAATTTACATTGTCATGGTCATTCATTCTGTCGAATCATTGCTCTCAGGGAAATCATGATTAGCTGATTTGTGTGAAAACAATCTTCCATTTAAATACGTGTGAATAGTGTAGTTTGTTTGATCAGTCAATATAATCAGTCATGTTATGGAATACCCCGCGGAACATTGTAACGTGTTGCGCATATTTCTAACGTTGATGAGAAATGGATAGTACGTAACAAATACGTCATGTCGATCCCTAAAGACCTCACTTTCTAGCCCTAGAGATTGATGACGCAATAAACGGTAATAGACTAGACGGATCACTCGATCAGCTTTCCACAATGCCGTAATATGCTAATATTTTAAATAAACAAGGGCCCGAGTTAACAACCAAGTTTTGTTAACAATAAGGCCTTGAACTTATACCATCACTGTTTAATTTTTATTATTATAATGCTCAGCAACAGGATATACAAAAACCGTAAAAATGTAAATTCCTCGGGCTATAAATAATAAAAGCAGAGTAAGTAAAGGAATTAGAGCTGTCATAAAAATGTGTATGGCGTGGACCTGTGGGAGTGTGGGATGGACGTGGACGCGGACGCGGGTCCGAGCTCGCCGGGACGGACTCGTAAATGCAAATCTGTACGACAATTTATTTTTATGAACAATTAGGCACGGTTGTCTATATAATAAGATAATCTCGTATTTTTCACCTAAATTCTGCTTTACGTGTAACGTTGCGTGGCTGTGTTATATTCCCTTAACATTTTATTTATTTTTTGAAGTACTTCACAAAGTTTCGTGCTCTAGATTGTTTTTATGTCATTGTCAGTATTTATTATGTTACCCGAACTGTAATAACATTACGAAACAAATGACGCACCTTTTCGGTGACATTTTATTTTTCTTCGTAAAAGTAAGATTATGTTAGAATGTGTTGTCAGTCAGAGAATCTCCAAACTAGTTATTCAAGTTGATTACAATTTTAAATTCTTTCTTGTCTCCATCTTACCTTGATACTCTACATGGTGTATTTGCATATATTAAATGCATGAATATAAAAATGTTTTGTGCTTTTTTGTGGTATTATGCCTTAAAATCTATATCTAAGTTGAAAAGTAGTTTATTGGTATAGAATTATATTTGTGTTTGTGTGTGTAGACGTCCATTAAGGAAAACTATGAATAAATGACATTTCAATTCACTTATACTACTACAAAAACTGGTCCTTAATTGTATAATTATGTAAATCCCTAATATATTGAATTATTTCTCTAAACTAATGTTCGTTTCTCAGGTGCTGGTCTGCTCGGCGCTGGTGCTCTGGGTCTTGGCGCTGCTGGTCTGGTTGGTGCCGGTCTGGTTGGAGCTAAGGCTGGTTTTGTTGGTGGTGCCCTAGCCGGTGGTCTGCTGTCCCACGGCAGGAGCTACGGTGGTGGATACGGCGGTGGCTACGGAGGTTACTACGGTGGCGGCTACGGCGGCGGTTACGGCGGACACTACGGCGGTTACGGCGGCGGCTACGGAGGCGGCTACGGCTACGGTGGTCACGGACGTGTCTACAGGTTTGTCTATAGAGATATCTGATATTATTTTCCCCTTTGTGTTAAATGTATTCATTTAGTTGGTTGCTGGTTTATCAATAAGAGTCTGTTACATATAGTTTAGTTATTTAATTCCAATGAATGGTTTTCAGTAAATATAGTTATATTAATTTCATGAAATTTGCAACGCATCAGTGAGTTTTCGGCTCTGTAACAGGCTCTTCCAATAAATTATATTATTTAATAACATTCGTAATATCATAACATTTTGTTAATAATTTCCATGGAGTGTTTATTCAATATCTAATTTCAATATATGCTCTATTTCAGGCGCTATGGCTTTTACCATTAACTCTAAAACAATATAACATTAGTATCTAATAATGATTCAAATTCACAACGACCACAAACACGTAACTACTTCACCCACATTTGTGGTTAACTAATACTAATATACTCCAATGTATCGCTTTCATTAATACATGACATTGAACTATTTAATATATTCGAGTCAATTCACTGTAAAATAGCCCTTATGTCAAAGTCTATAAAGTCACTTTCAAATTAATGAATCTTAACATAAATACACATACATATAGTTCGAGCAAAGGATGTTCTGCAGCCGTCAGGTTATTTTTCTAGATAAATTATTTGCACACTGATGGTGTTTTAATGGTGGATTTGTACTAAATAACATTTATCATTAAGGGACCACGCTTTGGTAGAATATTGTGGCTTCTATGCAACATGCTTATACTTTCAATTTGTAGTCTTTTATAGCACATTGCAGTTGCATATTTGCAGCTTACATAAACTGTTATAGCTTCATTGTTAAATCGTCAAGATCATATTTAACTTTTACTAAGTATAGTTTTTGAGAATCAATGTCCAAATGTATGTTGTTTTTTTTAACAAATTGCACCGATTCTGACACCATTTTATATTTTATTTATCTAATGTTTTACTAATTATGTTATTTTTTGTTCTAGGAAAGTGTACCTTGTAGAAGAACCCTGGTGCTGAACCAAACGACTGACTGCTGTGCAATATCTGATTATTTAAGTGTACGTGATTGTGAATGGAGTGTATTAGTACAAATTAATAAAACCAAAACATAAAAATTTTACTTTTGTTTTTATTTTTTTTTACGTCCAAAAATATTTTGAATGTCTCTTTTATTTATTTGTTATTTTATGCAATTGCTTATGGAGGACTTAATGCTTACAGCTTTCTCTTTACAAGTCATCCTTTGGATAATGCAAAGATGTACTTGGTAGGTGGTAAACTGCGGAAGGTTAAGGAAAGTAGTGTTTTAACCGTCAAGATTATTAAGATCATATTCATAGCAAAGTTGAGATCTTTTATTACATTTTTAGAATATAAAGATATCCATTACACTGTACTGACAAAGTCACGTACTGTTTGCAAAGTGCTCCGTGGCTTGTAACTTCTAATATTCATGAAAAAAACTTCTCACTTGGCAAATGTCGAATGTCGTTAAAATGTGCATTTGCAAAATGGCTATTTAAATGTGTCTGGAGCGAGCCATGCATACTAGTTGACTTATACTCGAGTTCTTCTTGTGCCAGATACTTTAAACTAGGAGATGAATCAATAGTAACCAGCAGCTTTATGATAGGTTTTCACGAAAAGTAACAAATGACGAATACAAACTTGACATAAGAATCAAATAAATAAATCGTACGGAAACGAAATAGGTAACGTATGTAAAATAAAGCATTGTAGGTAGTACTGCACCAATGGTATTGTGAAACGGCTTAACGGCTGTAGGCCTCCTCCAATAAACGGCATGTTTATTGGGAGAGCGTTTAGAACATAAAGCATCGATGCACTACCACAACTCAGGCAGGCGGCGCAGTGGCCAACAGCTAGTTCCCAATAAATATCATCGCACTTGATGCGGCCGTGCATCACGAGGCTGCTCACAGCCACGCTGGATGGAGCCGTCGATACAGCATTAACGGAGATGGATGGTATCGGCCCACGCCATCGCCTCTTTAATCTCACCTACAAAAGAGATATACGAGTGAGCCGTGCTTCCGATAACCGTACATTGTTCTCCTCCTTCATTTTACATTACCTATGAGTCTTTGTCGACGTAATCCGATTTGTAAACGTTCGTTTGTTTGAGTACAGAAAGATTTTTGGAATGTTTAATATATCCCGTTTTAGGCATTTTAGGATAATCGCATTTCACGGAAATATGTTTAATCTATTTTCGTAGGTACGATGAAATGGTTTTGTAATACCATTTCTTTGTAGAATTGTTACTAATCAAATAATGGCCGAGATTTGAATACATTTCGTTAAAAGGATTTTACTAAATTGTTTTTGAAAGATTGAGTACGAAGATTTTATAAAAACAATATCGTTCCCTTACAATTATTAGATATAATTTCATCAAATAAGAAAGTAAGTAGTTGTACATAAACCTTTACGCACTCATCCATCTGATTGAAACTATACCTACATATAGCGACATGTAATGAAAAACTGTAGAAATAACTCAACTTGTTTAAGTCAGATTTAAAAGAAGTTTCTAGAAGTAATTAAACCCATATTTCGTGATCTGCAACCATGTACGCAACTACAATGTATTAGTTAGAATATAGAGGCACTCAGGATCCGTAATGGAGTGTAACAAAGAGAGAGAGAGAGGTTATCTATGAAAAGCAGATCTGCAGAGGAAGGTAACAATGACAAAGATTAATTACATCCCAATAACGACGGAACAATCTTATCTGACGCCATTGATAGCGCAGATCATGAGGCGTTTGCGACTACGCAAACCCAAGACGCTTCGTCATCCGAAATCGCTATTGAAATGAGTAGCAGCAGTTTATTTGCTGTCAAGATCGCGAAATATGACAACAATAGTTTCTACATCTTCAGCCAAACGAAGGATTATTTATTACACACTATTATGATTTAGGACGTAGGAAGTTTGCCAACATTTTTGTACCAACTTCTGATGCCTAATGAATTATGGCATTAGGAAAGTTTTGTAGATGCTAAATAACTCATTTGGATCTTATTTCAATCAAAGTCTACTGACTTCTGGTAACTTTTGTCCCACATTTTGTTACGTCAACACGCAAAATTCGTTATCAAAGATAATGTAAATTTTCTAGGCTGATTTTATCTAATGAAGACGTTGTTCGTGGAAGTGGGGCGGTAGTAAACCGCGATCATCGAAACTTTTCAAATAAAACCGATGAGACCCCTTGTTTACGCACTTTGTTGCTTCATCCGACCTTTTCTTTGTACAAATCCAACTTTGTCCTGTTTCCCTTAGTAATTTGTGGTTTCAACTATTTTATTGGGGTTCACAAAAAGTAGTTAGGTTTTATATTTTTTTTCTTTCGTCATTTATCACCGTGGCTCGTTTATTTTGATGTTAATTTTATGAGCGAACAAAAGTTAAAGTATAAAGTTTGAACTTTCAGGAGATTTTAATGAATTGCGGTTTATTTGGATAAGAAAAGAAATCATAACTTTCGTGAGACATAATAAATTAATTATTATGTTTTCAGCTTACTCACGTAATTATTTGACGAGGGACTCGACTAGCTTGAAGCCATGCTACATGCATGTAGCAGCGCGACAGTCACTGCATCGCGGGCCGCGGAATGCTGCTCATGAATATGAGCCTTTAGCATGGCTTGAAACTAGTCGAGTTCCTCGTAAAATATATAGGTACGTGAATAAGCCGAAAACATAATAAAGAAAAATAATCTTGTATTAATGTGAACAGAATGTCTCGTACAAGAAATTTTCTTTTAATGAAAATCTTTAGATATTGCGAAACTGCACCTATAGTAATCTCATTAATTTGACGTAGTTACCTAGTGTTTAAACGTAGAACATAAATCCAATGCACCGGAGGCTTGTTAATAACTATATGCCTCAAGGAATTAAAGCATTTATCGCTCAGATAAACCCTTTGAAGCTTCATCTGGCAATATGAGCTTGCTTGAATATTCATAGTATGGGCAAGTCATTAAGCTACTCCTACGATTTTAATGAAAGCAAATTCACTACACAAGCAATTTGTAGGGAATTTGTGTTTATAGGGGCTTATTTAATAATTGTTTTCGTAAGCCAATAGGGTTGTAATTGATTTCGTGTGTTGAGTGTATCACGTTTTTGAATAGTGAGTGTTTATTACGTTATGTGAATTGAATTGATGATTTGGTACATATACAGTTCCATACATACATCAACAGCCTATAAATGCCCACTGTTAAGCAAAGCCTCTTCTTACACGGAGAAGGTTTGAACATGAATCACCACGCTTGCTCAATGCGGGTTGACGATTTCAAACTTATAATTAGAAAGTATAAGCTCAGGTTTCCTCACGATGTTTTCATTCGACATACATATGTAGATAGTAAGTAGAGTATCTACGAGGTTATCTAACCTAGTCTATATCGTCGCGGAGAACCTAACGGGTTACAGGGGCTCCGGCTCGAAGCGCAGGAGAAGGAACGGGTTGGTTTTTAGTCAGTAAGACTCTGACACTCCCTCCCGCCTCACCCAGGCGGGAGCAGTCATTCAATGATTTCCCCCCTTAAAAAAACCTAGTCTATATTGAGACAATGTTATTGGTGACCTGTAAAATTTTCATCTTTTCATCAAAATCTCAGCAAGAATACGACGATTACAGCTGTAAAATCAACCCATTAAGTTTTGTTACAGCGGCTAATGCTTGTCGTAAAGTGTAAAGTGTCATATTATGTTGAGATGTGCGCTCGCTGCGGATGACATACTTTATTATCATTTGATACTTTCACGTTCGCCACATTACTCGTTCACTATTTCCTGATAATATTTGATAACTTTTTATGGAGGTGCTGCTATGAAATGGCTGGTCATAATTTCACGTGTGTCAATTTAAATGAACAGTTTTATAATAAGGTATAAGACAGTATGACTGCCTCGTTGGCCGAGTGGTCGTAATCGTAAGTGCGACTGCTGGGCAAGGACTCTCGGGTTCGATTCCTGTGTCGGGCAAAGTATGACTGGGTTATAAAAAAATCTCAGTAGCAGCACATAGGCTGGAAATGCGCCCGGTATGTAGCAATAGGCTCACCCCCTAATACATGGGACTCGTAACATAAATAGTGAAAAGTAGGTGTTACATTGTACATTAAGTCCCGTAATATGCACCTCTGCCTACCCCTTCGAGTAATAATGTTATGTGTAAAACACTATAATGACTGAATAACTGTAACTTCCAGCTGCCTTCCTGAGATCAGTTTCAGTCTGGTAGATAGAATATCTCAAGTTCTAGTCTGAAAGTTAGGCTAACTGTTATTCTCGGTCTAGTCAGTTAAGTAACGATCACTAGTGCGATGGTGGCCATCAAAATATTTACTCCTGATAAAATATAGGTATATATAGGTACCTACGTACTATCAATTTGTGTGAATTAAATCAGATTGGTATGTTTTGAATAACTAAATTATCAATTTTTTACTGTTCATTGAATATTTTCCCAATAAATTGTTTAATCACAAACAAACACAACAGAGAACAATAGGTTGATTGAAAGCCCTTGACGATATCAGTGAATTATTACAAACGTGATTACCGACCGTATTATTGAAAGGTTTCAAAGCGATTCCCAACTAAATATAATGTTTTCTATTAATAATATGCATGCCCCTCGTAAAACATTAGTATTTATTGATTTTAAATTTATTTGACAATCATCAAACGTTTCTAAGGCCCAACGCCCCAGATAAATCTTAACATGGTGGTGCACATTACGGCACTAAATGCCACTGTACAATGTAACACCCACTTTTTGCTATTTTATGTTATGCGTTCCATGTAATAGGGGGTGAGCCTATTGCCATATACCGTACACAATTCCAAACTCCGTGCTACTACTGAGAATTATTTAAAAACCCAGTTATACTTTGGCCGACCTGGGAATCGAACCCGAGACCCCTTGCCCGGTAGTCGCACTTGGTCAATGAGGCAGGCATAAATTTTAA